ATTTTCTTTAAAATGAAAATGATCTTTCAGACACACAATTCAAGATAAGATATTTCAAATTGCCCTGCTTTCAAAGGAAATTGCCCATACGCAAATGTGTTCGGTGAAAAACCAAGTCCACTGCCACTGTAAAAAATGTGTTAGTGCATTTACGAAGTATCTTTGTAATTTACCAATTACAAAATGTGTCGTCCATCATTCGATTCGGGCAAATTTACAATTTGCAATTACGACATCTTCCATTAAAAAATTGTCTGTACTCGATACGACAGGTTTACAGAGAGGGCGTGCGTAGGGCATACTGCAATCTGCGTTTTATTCCAATGCATTTGCATATTGCATTTGATTCGAGAATTGGCTTTTCTGGGTCATTCTGCGTCTGGGGATGCAGCTCTTGATTTGCAGTCAGCTCCGCAGCACGTCCCCCTTCCACCCCCTTCCACCCCTTCTCTACCCTGCTGCTCCTGTTACCTCGAGAAAGCTTCGCGCGGCCGCCCTGGCGAAACTCGAAGGTGTCATGGCACGCTTGTTGCACGCTTTCGTTAGGTGTTCCTGAACAGGTGCCGCACGCCTTGGCGCGCCTCCTACGGGCGTTCTGGAGGGATAATAGTGACGCTTTTAGGTGTGTGCAGTACACCTGACGGAGGCGCGCGCAGGCGCGCGGCAGGCGCTCTGGAACGCCTTCGCTGGCAGAGGCGCGCACGGAGGTGTTTCGGAGGCGTTTGGAAATACCTTCGCCAGAGGATTGGAAATCCCTCCTGTACCTCTCCTGCACACCTTTCATAGGCGTTCTCGGCCCCGCGGGTAGGGCGACCTGCGTAGCCTAGGGCAAGGAGGCCCTGCCCTCTGTGACCGGCCCCCCCTGCGGCGCACAAATACAGACGTGAACTCAACTTATTAAACTCCTGCGGATCCGTGCAAACAAGTTAAAGCAAACCGGGAGCGCGACCGGCCGGCCCTCCGGCCACAGCCGCTGCGTTTTCTTTTGCCCGTCGCTGTTTGTAATTTTGTCAAGCCTATTTGACTTGCATTTTTAAACTGCCTCGCCGTCCTGGCGCTCCGCCACTCCCGCTCCCTCTGCCCCCCC